TTATTACTTTCCACGAATCCATATCCCAGGTACTTACTCTTTCACTTGCTCTATCTCTCTTCCGTGCCACCTTCATTTACCTCCAACCCCTTCGCCTTAAAATATTAAATAAAGGGAGGAGTTCATGATGTGCACAATGTATGGCAATAAGTCCGGAAAGCATTTTCTGATAAATATCTTTCATTGTATCTTTTCTCTCTTATCTGCGTTCTTCTCTCTTGTCTCTGGACGACCCTATTCCTGTCGCTTACCTCCCCCCACATCACCATCCCTTCCCTTCTTTTGTTGTTTATCTCTGCCTCCAAATAACCCGTCCTTTTGTAATATTCCCTCCTCTCTGCTACCATATCTAATCTTCCCCTCCCTATCTTCTTTCCAACACTCCCCCAGAATCCCGCAGTATGGTCTTCTATCTATCATTTCATATTTAACTGCTCTTCTGCCCGCCTCCACCCTCATTTTATCCCTCACTGTTCCCCTCGCCAGACCCAGAACCCACCGCCAGAATCGATTCTGTACGTCCTCTAGAATATCCTGCCTCTTCCATCCCCAAACTTCCGCCCCGTACATTATCTTTCTCTTTCTGATGTCCCTTCCAAACACTCTCTCATCCCATCCTCCGACCTGCTCCATCACCTTATTTGGAAAATTTCAGTGACCTATTCCATCTATTTCAAGATATTTGTATTGACAAAAACCTGACCTTATGGAAAGGAAGATTGACTTTCAAACAACACATTCTATCCAAACGACAAAGGTTTGGACTGAAGCTATTTCAGGCTTGCAATGTAGAAACCGGTCATTTGCTAAATTTTATTTTCTATACTATTGCAAACCCGGAACTTGATCATGATGATGAGAATATTAATATAACTACATCTATAATGATAACAATCATGAAACCCTACCTGGATCTTCCAAAATACTTGTTGAAGGAGGGGAGTGAGGAAGGGAAGAGATTGGTGGCCAGATTTTGGTGTGGTAATGAGGAGAGAGCGAATTCAACAAATTTTGTAAGGGTTTATCACTAAATATAATAAATTAAATAACAGAACTCAAAATAAAATAGGTTAAAATAACACAACCTCAACCTGGCGGAATGAACTGGCCAAAAAACAAAATTTTAATGGGACTTCCTCGTGATTCCATAGAGAGTAGTATAATTTCTTCACGAGAACTTATCTTCCAAAAGAGTTTACTTCTAATCCTAGAATTCATTTTCTCTCCATACATATTAATCAATCTGTATCAACGTACCCGTCAGTTTGCTTCTTTTTTGACACTCTACCGTTTCTCTATACTCTATTCATTTTGGTTCTCAAAACTTAAGCAAAGAATATTGGAGTATATCTTCACCCCTGCTACACACTTACAACCCATTCGCTTCCCGCAATTGAAATCTTTTGAAATAAACATTGGTAGCCTACTCCACTACACCCCCTCAGCATGTGTTCCAGCGTTTCCCAGTCATCCCCACACAGCCTACACTACCTTTCCATATCTTCCGTACAGTACCTGTTCCTTCTCTCCTCATTGCCACAGCGGAATCTGGCCACCAATCTCTTCCTTTCATCATCCCACTCCATCAACAGATAATTTGGCAATTCCTCTGTCACTATTTCCCCATACCTTATTATTTACCTTCCCGTATCTGTGACCTTCTTCCCTGCATCTATATGTCCCTGTCCCTATCTCTCAGTTCTCTCCACATTTCACCTCTCTCCACTCTTCTGTTGTCGATCCCAGTTAGCGAATCTCACTTTCCTGTAACATACTTTCCTTAATTTCCCTCCAACACTCTTCCAGGATCCTGCAATGCGGTCTTCCTGCTATCATTTCTTCGTACTTCACTCATTCCTAATCTTTTCTAGCAATCATCCCCAACCTCCCTAATACATCGAATTCTCTTTGGCCATTGCCAAAGTTGTCCACTTTTGTTGCCATTGTTTTTATGTTGTTATATAAAAGTTCGTCCACTTAGCCTGGATTGCGTAACCTGGCCGTTACATCTGGTTTTCAAGTCTTGACTTCATATAATCTTCTTTGTGTAACATTGCTGAAGCATGGCTAAATCATATTTAGTGAAGACATTATCAAGAAAAGTCATCAATGGATTATCTAGAGTTACCATTTAGAATGGAATTTACATTCGCCATTCCTAATCTTCTCTAGCAATCAACCCCAACCTCCCTAGTACACCGAATCTCTTTGACAATTGCTTAGGTTTTCTACATTTTAAGAAAAAGTAGAACGTAGCGTGTCCCATAATTTCCATATTATTGATTTTTTTCATTTTGCTATGTAGAAACTCCTCAGAAATCTCCATTTTGAAAAGGTACAAAACAATGTATTTAAGAAAAGTGAGTTGAAATGAGTAGTATAGAAATGAAAGGTTCCGATTGGAAATTAATCCCCATAATCCCACTGTGACGTCACGCTGTAATGTTATAAGTATAGGGAAAGTGAACAACTTAAATCTGGGGGGCTAAAAAGTTACTAGATTTAGGTTGGTATTGGAAAAGTAACTAAATATTCGGTTTAGAAAAGATGACGTGGCGGGTCTGGTGGGGTTGGTTGCCTACCTTATGAGGCGCCACCTAGCAGTGGATGGTGGACCGATGGATAGAGTTCTGTAGGGTGTGCGAGTTGTTGGTTGCCTAGCTCGTGTGGCGTCACTTAGCGGTGAAACGCATATTGCTGGTTGAAAACTTCTCATCTATTAGTTTACCAATGATATGTGGAAAATGTTGCTAGGATGAGTTGTTTGTGCAAATATTTTTATCAAGTGAAATTCTGTTCTCAAAACTTTGAATTTATGCTCAACGTTGGATTGCATGTACAGGGTGGTTCAAATTCGATGTCCGAATAGGCTATCTCGGAAACTATAAGAGCTAGAAAAAAAGTAGCTTACATGTCATGATCTCGTTTTTCGAGAAACTGTTAATGCCAAAAACCTCAAAGCGCTACCGTCTTTTGTTTTTCCCCTAGAGGCCAAAATTGAAAATATCGTAAAACCAGTAAGTGCAATTATTTAATTAAGACATTATATGGACACTTTTTTGCAGAGAATTTGATGACGTAGTCAAAGAAAATTTTGCGGTTTTAAATTTTGAGATATCATGACAATTTTCGTTTTTTTAAATGGAAACAACCACGGATTATTCGCTTATTAAATTCGTTATTTTTTTCTGATTACAAAAATATGGGGTTAGATAGGTCTATTTCTTATTGTTTTAGAATAAAGTTAAAAATAAACTTTTTTTTTAGTGTCGTCAAAGAAATTAAATTTACAGTTTCCTGTAAATTATAACTAAAAATTAAAAACACATATTAACGATATTTGAAACGAATATATTTGTTGAACTATTTAATTTATATTTGTTTTACACAAAAGTTGGAACAGATTGCATTATTTCACATTTTTTATTAATATTTAATATTATTATTAAATAAAAATTAAAAAAAAATTAAAAGTAAATGACATTTGTATTCAAAAATTTTCTTTTAAGATCGATTACGAAAAGTTTAACATGTTAGAATGTTACATATTAAAAAATAAAGTAAATTTTATATAAATTTTTAGTAGAATAATTTTTAGTTATAGTTACAGGAAACTGTAAATTTAATTTCTTTGACGACACTAAAAAAAAATTTATTTTTAGCTTTTTAATTTAATAATTAAATAAGAAGATAACTTCTGGTATTTAAAAACAAATATTTTTTTTAATATGTAACGTTCTAACATGTTAAACTTTTCAAAATTTTCGTAATTCATCTTAAAAACAGGATTTTTAAAGTGACACATCAGAAAATTTTTTAATATAAACAAATGGCGCCATCTATCAATAATTTATTAAGTCATTTAAGAATAATATTAAATATTAATAAAAAATGTGAAATAATGCAATCTATTCCAACTTTTGAATAATTACATATATAAATTAAATAGTTCAACAAATATATTTGTTTCAAATATCAGAAATATGTTTTTTTAATTTTTAATTATAGTACCGTAATTTACAGGAAACTGTAAATTTAATTTCTTGGAAGATACTAAAAGAATTTTAGAAATTTTTTTGACTACGTCATCAAATTCTCTGTAAAAAAGTGTCCATATAATGTCTTAGTTATAATACTCCAGCTATAATAATAACCAAGATAATTCCACTTGCTGGTTTTACGATATTTTCAATTTTGGTCTCTAGGGGAAAAACAAAAGACGATGGCGTTTTGAGGTTTTCGACATTGGAACTTATTTAAAAAAAGAGATCAAGACATGTAAGCTACTTTTTTTCTAGCTCTTATAGTTTCTGAGATAGAATATTCGGACATCGAATTTGAACCACCTTGTAGTCATCGTGTTCAAAGTTAACACAGTAGGATCAGTACTTTCAATCAATTTTTCAAGTTATTGCAATTTCCAATCACGTTTCTTTGGATTAGAAGGTACTGAGTTCAAAATAATGTTTTTAAAGATAATTTTTAAATGATTTTCTCCGTTTGTTAAAAAAATCACATAGTTTTAAATAAAGCTTTATAAATGTATACCAAAAGGAAACGATAAATAATAATGTCGCGTCGTTTGTAAAGTTTTTAATGAGTAGAAACTAGGAAAATGTGAATTGAAAAGGCTTGTTAGTCTTGCTCTTTTGTGTGATCAAAAATACGTGCTACGGCTGCAAGAGCTTTTGCGATAAAATAAATGACTAGGTGAAACTCACCTGCTTTTAAAACGATTTTCGACACAAAACTGTGTTGTATTTATTCTAGCGAGTTGAAACGGAAATAATTAACACAAAAAAACAAATTCAAAACGAAAAGAAAAAAATAAACCGAGATTGAAATCCCTTTTTTTTTGTTTTACCCAATTTAATCTACCCCGGTTGATATGGAATTTTTAATTTTTCGCATGCAAGCTTACCGAAAATGAAAAGAAACTCGGAAAAAAACACTGATTTTAACACAAACAACCACATAAAATGAACAAAAAATAATAATACCTGTATCGACAATAACATCGATTAGATCCATACTTTTGGCGAAAGCATCCCTCAGGTTGATATGATGAAAGGAAACTATGCTGCCTTCTCGTTTAGCTCGTTCAAGGGCCTCGCGTCGTTTGAGCGCCTTCTCTCTTCGCATTTGATTTTTGTAGAATTCGGCAAAATTGTTAACAATAATAGGTATGGGCAACGCGATCACCAGCACACCGCAGATACAACACACGCTTCCTATAACCTTCCCGAGGGGAGTGGTGGGATAAATGTCGCCATAACCTACCGTGGTCATCGTAATACCCGCCCACCAAAACGTTTCCGGAATGCTTATAAACTTGGTATTTTGTTCTTCTTTTTCGGCGAAATAGGCGAGACTCGAAAAAATTAAAACGCCCATCGCCAAAAACAGCATGAGCAAACCGAGCTCTTTGTACGAGTTGCGAAGAGTAAATCCTAGCGATTGTAACCCGGTTGAATGACGAGCCAGTTTCAAAATTCTTAAAATTCTCATTATACGAAAAACCTGGACTACTCGACGAACATCCTGAAACTGGTCGGTCGCGTTCTTGTTTGTCTCCAGAAGAAATAAAGAGACGAAGTAAGGCAAAATGGCGAGGAGATCGATAATATTCAAGCCGCCCTTGAAGAATTTCCACTTGTTTGGTGACGCACTAAACCTGAGGATGTATTCTAAGGAGAACCACGTGATGCACACCACCTCAACCATTGCCAATTGGGGATTATCCGTAAAATTACCCTTCTCATCATTCACCTGCATACTAGGTATCGTATTCAGGGTCAGCGCGATTGTTGATAGGACGATAAACAAGATTGACACGATGGCTATCACCTGAAAATAGCAATCAGCGAAATTCCCAATTTTTTTTTATTCATCCAGCTTTCATTTCAGTGACAATTTGTTTTTCGAAGAAATTGGTGTTTCAAAAATAGTTCGTTAAATGAAAATATAATGTAGGGAAAGTCGATTTAGATCGAAATGAGGGAACGTAATAAAACGACTTGTTTATAGGTTAGTTTTTATGGTGGAAAGTTGAACTTTACGACTATCTGTTGGATGTTTGTAACGCGAATATACTCTTGGGCCTCTAAACACTTAATCCTTAGGGCTGAATGAATACGCACTCTTATAGACCTTCAGTAACACTAGTAAATATATCGTATTAGGTGAATCACGAGATTGTGCGTATTTAATCTCTAATTTATCTCATGTGTGTAAGTTATATTCTTTAATATTTAAAATTAAAATGAGATACTACAAATTGATGTTNTAACACTAGTAAATGTATCGTATTAGGTGAATCACGAGATTGTGCGTATTTAATCTCTAATTTATCTCATATGTGTAAGTTATATTCTTTAATATTTTTGAAGCACCCTTAATGGTGCCAAATTAATAAAATGAGATACTACAAATTGATGTTATAACTCGTTATCATCTCAAAGAGTATACTTTAAGCTTTAATTTGATACAAAAAGTATTTCTGTATCTTAAAAAATAAAACTGAGACGATTTTTTTAAATCAATGAATTTCTATCACAATTTGTAATTTTTATCCTGATACAATTCTTCAATTTCTATTTATATCTGAACAATTGTAAATATTTTTTCTGAATGATGTATATCATCTTAAAGAGTACACTTTAAGCTTTAAGTTGATATGAAAATTCTTTCTGTATTTTAAAAAATAAAGCTCAGACGATTTTTTTTAAATCAATAAATTCTTATCAAAATTTGTAACTTTTATCCTGATACAGTTCTTCAATTTCTATTTATATTTAAAAAATTGTAAATATTTTCTCTGGATGATATACATCATCTTAAAGAGTATACTTAAAGCTTTAATTTAATATGACAATTATTTCTGTATCTTAAAAAATAAAGCTCAGACGATTTTTTTTAAATCAATGAATTTTTATCACAATTTGTAATGTTTATCCTGATACAATTCTTCAATTTCTAGTTATATCTCAATAATTGTAAATATTTTTTCTCAATGATATATATCATCTTAAAGAATACACTTTAATCTTTAATTTAATATGAAAATTCTTTCTGTATCTTAAAAAATAAAGCTCAGACGATTTTTTTTAAATCAATGAATTTTCATCACAATTTATAATTTTTATCCAGATACAGTTCTTTAATTTCTATTTATATCTCAATAGTGGTACATTTTTTTCTTAATGATATACATCACTCTAAAGAGTATACTTTAAGCTTTAATTCAATATGAAAATTATTTCTGTATCTTAAAAAATAAAGCTCAGACGATTTTCTTTAATCAATGATTTTTATCACAATTTGTAATTTATATCCTGATATAGTTCTTTAATTTCTATTTATATCTCAATAGTGGTACATTTTTTTCTTAATGATATACATCACTCTAAAGAGTATACTTTAAGCTTTAATCCGATATGAAAATTATTTCTGTATCTGAAAAAATAAAGCTTAGACGATTTTTTTAAATTAATGAATTTTTATCACAATTTGAAATTTTTATCATCCTGATACAGTTCTTCAATTTCTATTTGTATCTCAATAATTGGAAATATTTTTTCTGAATGATATACATCATCTTAAAGAGTATACTTTAAGCTTTAATTTGATATTAAAATGATTTCTGTATCTTAAAAAATAAAGCTCAGATGATTTTTTTTAAATCAATGAATTCTTATCAAAATTTGTAACTTTTATCCTGATATAGTTCTTCAATTTCAATTTAAATCTGAATAATTATAAATATTTTTTTTGAATGATATACATCATCTTAAAGAGTATACTTTAAGCTTTAATTTGATATAAAAATTATTTCTGTATCTTAAAAAATAAAGCTCAGACGATTTTTTTAAATCAACGAATTTTTATCACAATTTGTAATTTTTATCTTGATACTGTACTTCAATTTCTATTTATATCTGAATAACAGCAAATATTTTTTCTGAATGATATACATCATCTTAAAGAGTATACTTTAAGCTTTAATTTGATATGGAAATTATTTCTGTATGTTAAAAAATAAAGCTCCTACAATTTTTTATAATCAATGAATTTTTATCACAATTTGTAATTTTTATCCTGATACAGTTCTTCAATTTCTATTTATATCTGAATAATAGCAAATATTTTTTCTGAATGATATACATCATCTTAAAGAGTATACTTCAAGCTTTAATCTGATATGAAAATTATTTATGTATCTTAAAAAATAAGCTCAGACGATTTTTCTAAATCAACGAATTTTTATCATAATTTGTAATTTTTATCTTGATACTGTTCTTCAATTTCTATTTATATCTGAATAATTGTAAATATTTTTTCTGAACGATATACATCATCTTAAAGAGTATACTTTAAGCTTTAATTTGATATTAAAATTATTTCTGTATCTTAAAAAATAAAGCTCCTACAATTTTTTTTAATCAATGAATTTTTATCACAATTGGTAATTTTTATCCTGATACAGTTCTTCAATTTCTATTTATATCTGAATAATAGCAAATATTTTTTCTGAATGATATACATCATCTTAAAGAGTATACTTTAAGCTTTAATCTGATATGAAAATTATTTATGTATCTTAAAAGATAAAGCTTAGACGATTTTTTTAAAATCAAAGAATTTTTATCACAATTTGTAATTTTTATCCTGATACAGTTCTTCAATTTCTATTTATATCTGAATAATAGCAAATATTTTTTCTGAATGATATACATCATCTTAAAGAGTATACTTCAAGCTTTAATCTGATATGAAAATTATTTATGTATCTTAAAAAATAAAGCTTTGACGATTTTTTTAAAATCAAAGAATTTTTATCACAATTTGTAATTTTTATTCTGATACAGTTCTTCAATTTCTAGTTATATCTCAATAATTATAAATATTTTTTCTCAATGATATATATCATCTTAAAGAGTATACTTTAAGCTTTAATTTGATATAAAAATTATTTCTGTATCTTAAAAAATAAACCTTACACGATTTTTTTAAAATCAAAGAATTTTTATCACAATTTGTAATTTTTATTCTGATACAGTTCTTCAATTTCTATTTATATCTGAAAAATTGGAAATATTTTTTCTGAATGATATACATAATCTTAAAGAGTATACTTTAATCTTTAATTTGATATGAGAATTATTTCTGTATTTTAAAAAATAAAGCTCAGACGATTTTTTTAAATCAATCAATTTTTATCACAATTTGTAATTTTTATCCTGATACACTTCCTCAATTTCTATTTATATCTGAAATATTGTAAATATTTTTTCTGAATGATATACATCATCTTAAAAAGTATACTTTAAGCTTTAATTTGATATGAAAATTATTTCTATATCTTAAAAAATAAAGCTCATGCGATTTTTTTTAAATCAATGAATTTTTAACACAGTTTGTAATTTTTATCCTGAAACAGTCCTTCAATTTCTATTTATATCTGAAAAATTTTAAATATTTTTTATAAATGATATACATCATCTGAAAGAGTATACTTTAAGCTTTAATTTGATATGAAAATTATTTCTGTATCTTAAAAAATAAAGCTTAGACGATTTTTTTTAAATCAATGAATTTTTATCACAATTTGTAATTTTGTATCCTAATACAGTTCTTCAATTTCTATTTATATCTGAGTAATTGTAAATATTTTTTCGAAATGATATACATCATCTTAAAGAGTATACTTTAAGCTTTAATTTGATATAAAAATTATTTCTGTATCTTAAAAAATAAAGCTTAGATGATTTTTTAAAATCAATGAATTTTTATCACAAATTGTATATTTTATTCTGATACAGTTCTTCAATTTCTATTTATACTTAAAAAAATGTAAATATTTTCTCTGGATGACATACATCATCTTAAAGAGTATACTTAAAGCTTTAATTTGATATGACAATTATTTCTGTATCTTTAAAAATAAAGCTCCGACGATTTTTTTAAAATCAATACATTTTTATCACAATTTGTAATTTTTATCCTGATACAGTTCTTCAATTTCTATTTATATATGAATAATAGTAAATATTTTTTCTGAATGATATACATCATCTTAAAGAGTACACTTTAATCTTTAATTTAATATGAAAATTATTTCTGTATCTGAAAAAATAAAGCTCAGTCGACTTTTTTAAATCAATGAATTTTTATCACAATTTGTAATTTTTATCCTGATACAGTTCTTCAATTTCTGTTTATATCTGAATAAGTATAAATATTTTTTTTTAATGATATACATAATCTTAAAGAGTATACTTTAAGCTTTAATTTGATATGAAAATTATTTCTGTATCTTAAAAAATAAAGCTCAGACGATTTTTTTAAGTCAAGTTCTCTAATTTCAATTTTGTTGAATTTATAAACATGATATTTTCATTTAACAACATTTGAAACACCTCTATACTTTGTATAAATCTTTAAATTTCGAAATAGAAAAAGAACACTTACAAAAATAAAAGTAGGTACATAAAATCTAATATCTGTTTCAACTCCGTTATCTTTAAAAATTATTTCTTGTTTATAAATATTTATATTCCCATATAGTTCTTATGGAAGAACATATCGCAGAGCACTTGCAAAATAATAAACAATGCCAAGGCAAGAATAGTATAAAGCAACTTTACGTTTACACAATATTTTTACGTTCACTAAAAAATCGACGTGATGTGACCATAATATTCAAGATATTAGATTTCTGTAGCAACAAAAAAAATTATACCACAAAGCACACAAAACAAAATATTTATACATAAACAATTTTTTAATTGTATAAACACAGCATTTTTTTAGTTGATATTAGGGATAATGCGAAAAAAACACAAAAG